AACTTCAGTTGGGTTGCAGCCAGTAATCAATTATAAACGATTACTTAAAACACATCAACCTAATTTAGTCAGTCGGTGATTTATTATTTAGATGATTAAAAAATCAATAGCAAAAAGAACATTTGTGTGTTTTGTTTGTTTTTATCTTTAATTATGCAAATGAAATACTTTTTAATTTCTTTTTTTTGCTGGAATTTGTTTTCCATTTTCGTTTGTCAAATAATGTTTTTAACATTGTCAGATAAAAAAGTCGTCTGTCAGTGTTTGTTACTGACTTTGTTCTGTAAATAAGCACCAGATGAACTCATAAAATGGACAAAGGTGTTCAATGCTCAATGAGTAATTGCACCAGTGTCCACCAGACATTGTCTGTCTGTCTGTCCGTTTGTCTGGTGCACTATGTGTATCCTTAAATGAGATCGTTTATAGATTCAGAATTGTGTCTATCGCACTTTCGCACACACTCACACAGCAACACATAGGGCACCAGAATGTGTGTGTGTGTGTGTGAACAGTACCGTCTTTGTGCCTGTGCATCAGTGTGTCTGAAGGCTGGTAAATGAATGAATTGAGTAGGGAGCGAGGAGTTTGGTGTTTTATTCTCGCCAACTGCCTCCAAGACCACAGCCAAAGCAAAGGAAAGGTTCAGTTAGGTTCGGTTCAGTTCAGTTCAGCTCAGTTCAGCTCTATCGGACTAGTCTGAGGCTGCTAACCGCCGGCAATATAGCACCCTCAGCAGGTGTAGACAACACTGGGCAGGGGAGCACTGCTGCTGCTAATGCTGATGCTGTCTACGTTGAATAGAGAAGAAGAATACATTGTGTTTCAGGTTTTCAACACCACCGGCGACACCGTAGAGGCACATTGAGAGAAAAAAAGATGAGAGAGAGAGAGAGAGAGAGAGAGAGAGAGAGAGACTTGAGCTGACTGACTGCTCGCTTGAGTTGACTGCTAATGAAGGAAGGAAAGAAAGAAAGAAAAAAAATGAGAATGGAAAGGCAAATTGACGGTAAACGGCAGAAAGTTTCTTTTGATATCGAGCTTTACTGCTGAGAGAAAGAGGCGCCTCGATTGCTTTTTAGCGATTGTGCTGAAGGTAGCCCTCAGTTCTGGTCAAAACCGCAAATATGAGAAAAGAACGAAAAGGTTATCATGAAAAGAAGAAAGAGGAATAAGATGCAACTGAAAACAGGTTAAGAGGTAATTGTACCCGTTCAATGGCGATGATGGTGGTAAAATGACTGCATCTTAATGATGGGGGTGATGATGATGATGATGATTGGCGATGGCGGCAATGATAAACAACAACAACAACACCTGAAAAACACAGTTCCACTTTGAGCATCATCAAAGCTCCATTGATAGCAAAATACCTTTTCTTGGTAACTTGTTTGTCCTTGTTGATAGGTCTGTTGTTGTTGTTGTCGTTCATGTTATTCCGATTTTTTTCTACCACTAACAGTGCCTGGGCGCCATTGATAGTTGCCCGACCAGTAGTTCACTTGTCCTCATCTTTTCATCTTTTGGCTGTTTCTGCCTTTCTCTTCGTTTTTGCCAACTCCTGTCTGCCCAATAGCAATTGGTCTTCTTTGTCCTGGCGCCCGCCTGCCTACCAACTGCTTGCTTGCTTTCTTTCCAACATTTTTTACCTTTCTTTTTATTCGATTAATACACTCACACACACCTCTATTGACAATAACACAACGGCAGCGTCAGAGTTGAGTGACTCCAACTCAGAGCTCACAACAATAAAAAACGGCCACTGTTTGTCTGTTTGCACAGACACAAAGGTACTTCTTCAAATACAAACAACACACACCTCGTCTTTGAAATATGTGTGTGTGTGGTGTATTTAAATAAGGCGCAATAGAATTGGCAGCAGCAGCAACAGCAACACTGCCAAACAAAGGAACTATTACCTATTGCCTTTTTTGCCGGTGCAGCTCAGTGAAGCCTGTCGAACACTGCTGGGCTGCCCATTTATTTGTTTTTTCCTATTTTTCTACCACTATCTTCTTGTTTTTGCATAATTTTATGTATTGGGAAAAATTATTGTCTTTTGTCTGCTGTGTCTTTGTGGTAAAAATTGCACTTAAAAAAATTTATATTTTGTAACTGTATTTAATGTTTGTTTAATTGATTTGCCAAATTAAACAAAACAGTGCACTTTTAAAACTTATTATATAAAAGAAACAACAACTACAGCAAAAAACAAAAATTTTAAGTTGTTACATTTTTAAATAGTTAAAAGCAATTGCACAAAATTCTGTTTATTTGAACAAATTTTTATTTTTAAAAACAATTTTTTAAGCACTAGTGCACACAGGGAAATGGTTTCAGTCACCACTAGAGAAAAAGGGCCCGTTTCATTTGTGATTAAAATTTTTATTTTTCAATAACAACTAAAATTTTTTTCAATTACAACTGAAAAATTTTTCAGTCATGATTGAAATTCTTTGACTTTTTTCAATAATCACTGAAATTTGCAATAGTTACTTTTACTATTTATGGCATAGGTTTTGGTGGAAATAAAGTGAACAAACGTTGAATATTGCAAAAATCTCTATGCTTATTGTTTAACCTACTTTCACCTTTTATTCCTAAACTTTTTTGCATTGCGTCATCCTCACATAGCACTCTAAACTAACCAGAATTTACTTTACACTCATTTGTGTTTATTTTCTGAGCTATTTCCAGTTTAAAAAAGGACTTTTGATTTTAAAACTATCACTAAGTTTGCGGACACGAACGCGCGACCCAAGACTAAGCAGTTGTGCCACACACGCCATTCATCAGAGGTCATATCAACAAAAACCCTTTTAACAAAACACTTATCAAAGTTCAGTCATCACTGAAAATAAAATTCCGTTACAACCGAAATACACTTTTTTAGTAGTGACTTAAAAATTGTTTAGTTGTGACTAAAAAATATTTTTCTGTTGTAACCGAAACTCACTTTTTTCAAACATGACTTAAAAATTTTTCAGTGACCAATGAAAAAACAGACTTTTCAGTCAGAACTGAAAACTTTTTTCATTCACCACTGAACCCATTTCTCTGTGTATGCAACGACATTTTATGATTTATGAAACTGTCGTTTCATTCTGTTCATTTCATTTCCTACTTTTCTACATTTTTCAATAAAATCGTAAATCTTTTTCAAACTAACCCAGAAGTTTTTTTGTTTGAATTTTGTGTTTATTGTTACTATTACCAGTACTTAATCTTACAGCTTGTTACTGTAACTCTTTGCAAATTTTTGTTTTTGTGAATGAATCATTATTCTTTCTGAATGGAAGAAAAACAGCAGAAAATCATTATTGCAAAAACACAAAGTAACTAAACTTTTTTTTGTTTTTTTGCAACCAGTAAAGGAAGATGAGCAAAAACATAAAAACACAAAATTGCATTTCTTCTGATTTAGTTGTGTGTGTAAGTGTGTTTCAGCAGCAACTTTTAAGCAACCATCGTTGCTGTACCGCTGAGAGGATTTCTCTCTACCACCGCGTTCTCTCTCTCTCTCTCTCTCTCTCTCTCTCTCTCTCTTTCTGTTTACCAATTTGATCGATTTATAATTACAGAGAACCACAGTTGGTGCGCGTCAATTCGAGAGAGAGAGAGAGAGAGAGAGAGAGAAAATAAAAATTTGCGAGAATAGTAGTTGTGATGAGCTTAGAGTGCCAGAGAGCGATACATATCCTCCTAAGCCGAACACAAGAAAAAAGGTGAATCAGGTAGACAAGGGTCAGCAAACCGCAACTGCAAACTCACACTCACACACACACCGACCAATCCAATTGTCGGCAATTGTCAGCCAGCCAGTGTCATTTGCAATTGCCCTCTGAATGAGTTTAGAGGTGGCAAAACCGAGACCGAGACAGATTCTATTACTATTACAGCAGTACAAAATTACAACCGCAATGTAAGAACTAGTCAGCGGCAGTGCTCATTTTGTCACCTCCGCTCTTACCTCCCCCCCCTTCAAGTTGACCGCAATTTGCCACTAATCTATTGCACGCTTTTCTTCTTCTTTCTCTCTCCCTTCCCCTTTTCCCTCTTCCCGTGTCTATGACTAAACCACCACCACCACCAAATCCTCAGCATCCGACTGAAGGAAGGTCTGCTCAGCTCAAATGCCGCCGCCGCGTACAATGGCCTAGCCACCGTCAATGGGGGCAACAGCAGCAGCAACAGCAGCAGTGCTGCAGCAGTAGTGGCCGCAGCGGCGGCAGCAGCGGCAGCAGCTGCAACAGCCGCCGCCGCCGCCGCCGCCGGGTGCAATGGCAGCAATGGATCACCATCGGCTGCAGCAGGTCATCTGATGACGGCTGGTCAGCTTCAACACCAGCAGCACAATCACAGTCACAATAGTCACAGCAGTCACAATCACGGGAGCGGTAATCACCAGCAGCAGCAGCAGCATCACGGTCATCAGCAGGTACTGCCGATAGCCGCCTCATCGTCGTCGTCTTCATCAGTGCATGGGCACTCTGCCGCCACCGCCGCCACCTCCTCCTCCTCCTCCTCCTCCCCCTGCAGCTCTGCGGCGGCAGCCTCGGTGGCGGCAGCCGCCGTGGCCGCTGCCGCACACCTCGCCGCCGCCGTCGCCGTCGCCAATCCTCATTCTCATGCTCTTCACCAGCAACAGCAGCAGCATCACCAGCAGCAGCACTCTTCTCATCCGCATCATCATCACCACCAATCGATTCCAGGCATGACTAACCCAGCAATGGCGCAGGCATACTGAACAGCCAGCACTAGAGAAAGAAAAGATGTTTTGATTTGCACATTTTTTACCAATTGTTTCAGTCTTAGTGTTTAGCATATTTGAATTTTTCTTAATACCAAAGTGCAAACAGATTAGAATTTAAAATTTTGAGTTTTAGATTTTTGAGTTTATTGAATAACTTTTTATTCTTCTGTTATACAAAAACACCCAAGATGTTTACCTATTAGTGCTCCTATTTAGCCTAACAATTTTGTTTTTACCCCTTTTGTAGGCCACGTGCTCGGCTCCTCGTCGGCGAACAACACTGGCACGCCAAACGTGCCCATCAAGACGAATCCTTCCAAGCGGCACCGAGAGCGTCTCAACTCTGAGCTGGACATGCTCGCCTCGCTGTTGCCCTTTGAGCAGTCAGTGCTCTCCAAACTCGACAAGTTGTCCATTCTTCGGCTCAGTGTCAGCTACCTGCGAACTAAGAGCTACTTCCAATGTAAGTCACCCCTTTACTCTTACACACTTGCACATTCATTACTCGGTCAGTTTTTATTTTATTGCATTTTAGTCTGCAAAGTTAGCAGCAGTGTGTGTTAGGTTAGCTAGTGCGCCACAAATTGGCAACCTCGTAAACACGTCAGAAGGTTTCACTTTCACCTTCTTTCAAGTGGTCGCTAAGTTTCAAGCATTTTTTTACTTTTAACACTTCATCATTTTAATTTTTATCAAATGACTACTGCTTGATTGCCTGATTGTGTTTTTAGTATTTGTTATCCAAAAATTTAGTTTTTTTAAATTTTTAAATACTATTTTTGGTAACGGCATTTTGTAAATTAAAGCTTGGTTTGACAAATATTTAATGTTTTAATTAAACCATTTTAAAGTTTATTAACATTTCTACTTAGCTGTATGCATTATAAAGGGAAATAAATGATAAACATTGCAAAATAAAAAATTTTAACTTTTTGCACTTGCATAGTTAGTTGCATTGTTAAAAGTTTTTAAGTTTAACTTTCACTTTCTCACCCACACCTGTTTCAGCTGACAAATTTAGTTCAGCTTTTTTGAAACAAAAATTTGGGTTTGGCAAAAAAAATACAATTTGCTCATTTTATTCCGTATTAAAATTATTATTTATTAGCAAAAGTATTTAGAAAATTAAAAATCATAATAAAAAGTGACAAGTTATTTTTAACTAAGCAAACATTTTTAATTGTGTTTTATTATTAAAACAACTAAAATAAAATGATTGCATATACATTTACATAAATGCTTGTTGAAAAAAATATTTTTGTCAAGTTTAAATTTAAATGTCATCAAAGAGCTTGGGACGACTTTTTTAAGGATTGGCCTAAACTGTTGTCAAATTGGCTGCCTGTGAATGTGATTTAAGCATTGAGGTGTGCAGCCATTGCTGTTGTTGCTGTCATCAGTTTTGCCAGCACTGTCGCTTTTTCTCTCCCATTTACCTGTCGCCCCACCTTCAATTGTTAATGACAGTTTTACTTAATTACACCACACACACACACCGGTTTTTACTGTGTTTGTTTTGTCTGTTCTTCAAGGTATTTTTTAGTTTTTTCTTCCATTTTTAATATTGTCAACGTTTGATAATTTCTTTTTAGACATCGTCATTGTTTTATGTGTTCAGCAAGCTGTGCCCACTTTTCAGGCCACAATTAAGTTGATTGCAAATCATTAAATATTTAAATTTTTGTTTGTTATATTAAGATGTCAAACTAATGCGTTTATCAAATGGCAATTCACTTTTTTTGGTTACTCAAAACAAGCATCATTACTACCTACATAAAATCAAAAAAATTTTAAATTAATAAAAAACTCATCTCTGCACACATGTTAAATAAACTGTGACGCCAAGCAAACAGACTTATGCCAATTTATAAAGTTCCCAATTGTGCAGTTTAAAAACCGAGGCCAGTAACCCTGTAGTTCAGTCGATGTCGTTGTCGACGGTCGTTGCAGGCTGAACTTTAAACAATAAAAATGCTTAAAATCAATGCTAAGCAGTGGCCTGCGCTAATCTGGCTGGCTGGCTGACAGAGGAGCTCAAGAGTAAAGGCAAAAATTGCGTCAGTGCGCCCAACAGCAGCAGCAGCAGCAGCAGCAGAGTCAGCAATGTCAAAGAGTGTCTGTGTGTGTGTGTGTGTGTGTGTCTACCTGCTGACTGGCACTGGCAGTGCATTGTCATCCACTGCGAGCAACCTGTGCTCAATGTACCATGACGCACACTGACAGAAGCAGCAGCAGCAGCGGCAGTATTGTGCAGTATTGTGCACTTTGTGCCGTCTCCCTCTTTTACTCACTGGTCAAATGGTGCTGCTGCTGCTGCCGTTGGTGCTGCTGTCACTGCAACGCCGTCGAGCCTATAAATAAAGTCAAATATTATTATTGGCCAACTGAATTTATTGCTTGAATTATTGGCCAACACTGCTCTCTGCCTGATCAACACACCGGAGTTGGGAAGAGAAATTGGGAAATGGGATTGTGGTTTAGGTTAACTGATTAGTAAGTTTTTTGCAGTATTAAATTCAAAATTTTTTGTTTTTACTTTAAGTCATTTGAAGGCATTAGAAATATGTTTTTTGTTGTATTCAGTTTGGTAAAACTAAATAATCAACTTTCGCATTTGCTAAAACATTTTTTAATATTAAAAATTGTATGCAAATTGCACAATTTTAACGGAAATTAACTTCAGTCAACAAACGTACCGTTAGTTTTTATTGAAATAATAATCTTTTATTCTTAAAATTGTTTATAAATTTTTAATAACTTTTAAGTTTTGCGTGCATTTTATTAATATTACTAAAAGCCATTGTCCTAATCGCAGCCAATTATATTTTCTTTTTCGCTAACTGTTAAAAACTACAACAAAAATCTGTCAATTTAGCAAAATTTGTGTTAAAACGGTGACAAGTATGAAAAACGAGCCTTATGCGTGACAATAAAATTTACAACTAAAATCAGTTTGAGTCATTTTTCTACCATTAACTAGCCGTATCCAAAAAGAAAAATGCCAAGAAAAGTCACTGACGTTGCTTTTTGCAAATTTTGCTGGTAGATAAAAAACCGGCGACCAAAACGGCCAATGTCTGCAATTCCAGTATTTGCCAATTTAACTGGCCTATTAAAAATGATGATTTTAAAATGACTTCCATTTAACACTGTCATTTGCCGCTATTTTAGTTTTTAAACTGCTTTTTAGTTGCGATTTTACAATTACTGGATCACGCGAGATTTCAACTTGAATTTCCAATAGTTTTATCGTTTGGTCGTCACTGGATTGTGTTGATTAGGTGCTGCAGCAGTAGTCGCTATTGTGCCCAGTTCACTGCGGTGCTCTGTAATTAAAGATCTCAATTATTAGGTACACTGCTGCCTAATGTCAGCACCAGTAAGTGGCAAATGCTTAGACAGTAGACAGACCTTTGACTGGGCACTAAGGCAGAGCCATTGAAGGTCAGAGGGCACGCGCAATACTGTCCTCCGCCTTTTGCCGCCTTCATTCAGCATGACCTTTCTTTCTTCCTCCTCTTTCCTATACCACACGGCGACACTGTTTACTTGTGTTGGCTGATCAGCCAAGACTTAAGTACTACTACTACTACTACTACTGGGACAATGTGCTCAGATAAATAAATAAATGAGTGTGTGTGTGTGTGCTTTCAGTGCCTACACCAGCTCCAGTTCAGGTGCTTAATGAGAAATACGCGCGCAAATAGGAAGGAACATTGCAGCAGCAGCAGCAGCAGTAGCCGAGGGTTGCGTGATCAGGCAAATTGAACTTTCACTGCATCTTCTGCTTTCACTGCAGGATAGACCAAAATAAAAAAGAGAAAAATTCTCTCATTGCCGCTTTGTCGCACAGTGCCCCGCTCAGCAGCCCATTTGACCGAGTGTTCATCGGTGCGCCAACGGTCGGTCTCTATCGGCCCGTCGTTTCGGTCCTCGTCCTCGTCCTCGTCCTCGTTCTTGTCCTCCTCCTTTTCCTTCCAATTTTCCTCCATTCTTGTTCATCTGCTCTGTGCGACATCACGCAACATTCTGATCACTGCCGCCAAGTCCTCCCCACTTTCACTTTACAGTCCTGGCAGATCACCCGAAACGAAGCAAACCAAGTGCATACACACACACTGCACTGTCAAATGATAAATTCGAATTTGCTTTTCACTGTCAATTGGTTTCTATTCATTTGTATCGGTATTGCCTGCAGTTTAGTTTAGTTCAGTTTTTTGTGAGCTTTTCTGCTACTCCTCCTTCTTCTTTTTCTATTTCTTCTCTTCTATTTACCCAATTTATTGGTAGTTATACTGTTTCTTCTTTCATTGATGGTGCATTACCAGTACGCAACACACAATTGCAACTAAATGGATGTATAACTGATAATAAATTACATTTTTGCCTTTTTTCTTTAGACCTTGCTCACATCTCCGCCTACGTTTTTGCGTCTTTCTTTTTTTCATTTTGCAGTTCTACATTTAGGAAAGTACACAGGCCAAATAGTGAACGCAATTACAATTACTGAGCCTTTTTAAGTGCAAACATGTTTGGTATGTGAGTTAGTACGTAGTTGAAATGAGGATCTAAATTTGAAGAGCTATATTTTGGACTAATAAACGGAAGATGTAATGGCAATTTGAAGTAATCAAATGTGATTTGTTGAAAACAAAATTTATAAATCATATAGACGGTAGCAATGTACAGCACAAAAAGTAAACACAATCGATTAAAAAACAAAAATGGCATCAAATAATTTAAAAATCGTTCAAAACAAATTTTTAAAAAAAATCATTTTTTGTTTTTTTAACATAGTGCAGAGTCTGGGTTGCTACAATAGCACATTTTCACATTGTTGTTTGCTTTATGTTTACTGTAAAATGAACCTCAAACAATGAACTACAAAAAGTCAAAGGAATAAGCCCTGTCTATAATTAGATCAATTGGCAGTTGTGCGCGTTTTTGTAGTGCAATGAAGAGCAATGACTAAGACTGCAGTAGTGCACCAAAAACTAGCTGGCAAACTAGTGCCATCACCTTATAATAGAGCAAAAAAAAGGTGCTGTCAGCAAGAAAAAATGCCTGCCTAAATCGAGCAATATGGCTCATTCGTTTGGTATAAATCACCACCATTGCCACCATCGTAATCACCATCAGTTGCTCATTGCTCGCCTAATTAGCCGCCCTTTGTCAGTGGCGGTAGTTCCAGTTCACCCATCAGTGCAAGTGGTCAGAAATGAGTCAAGGAAGTTGAGTGTGGGAGAAAAGGAAAGAAATGGCGGCAAGAACAGTCAAATTTTTTTTGTGCCTGGCTGCCTGCTGCCACCCTCATTGGTCTGCCGCCTTGTTTACCACCAGTGGTGGACTGACTGGTAGTAGTTGTCAAATTAACACCCTCGGTGATAGACAACACTGCCACTGCTGCTGTTGGTGCTCCTGGTGCTGGTCGTCATCGTCGCCGTCTGACTGCTTTTAGTTAAATCAGCTTATTGCGTGTCTAATTTAACTTGACTTACACTTTGCTTCATTCCCCCTTCTCCTTTTTTTCTTCGTTACCGCTTTGACAGCTTTCAGGCGTCTCACCTTGGCTTTTTGGTTTACTTTACCTGTTCTTCTTTTTGTTTTTTCTCAACTGCTGTTGCTGTCGCGCCAAAAGGCTACTACATTTTGTCTAACAAACTTTTGTCTTTTGTTTTTGACTGTGATGTGAAGTTATCAGCAATTCGCTGTTGCACTTGTAACATTTTTGTTAATTAGAACTGGTAATTACCTAGTAAGTTAAGTTTACCAGTAGTAAAATTGCATTATTGTTTCAAACTTCTTTTATCTTCCTTTTAGTTTTTGAATCACTTGCCAACATTTTGTTTTTGCAAGGTGCTACATTACGCACAACTGTCATCATTCATTTTAAAACGAATGATTTATGACAATTTTGTTTGTAATGACAAGCATTTATAAATTTAAAAAATGGCAGTGACAAAATTCTAAAACAAAAATCCAGAACAATTTTTAAGCAAAAATCAGCATGCACACTAGTTTTTTAAAAACCTTAAAAACTGTTCACAACATTCTGCCGCGTGGAAAAAACGTAGCCAGTCTCGTGGCTGGTCGGCCAAAACGGAAGCTCAATGAGATAGTTAACCACTGAGCAAACAACAAGCAAACTGAACTGAACTGAACTGAACTGAACCCTAACAGCTAATGTGATGAATATAAATTAGCAGTGTGTCTGCTGTGTGGTTATGAAGCCCATTAGGCGGCTGCTTTACTTTATTAGTGCTACTGTTGCCGCTGCTACTCAGTTGACAGTAGCCCCTAACCAGTCACTGCGGGGTTCCCTTTTTTCAGTCTGCCTTTTTAGTGTCCCTTCCCTCCCCCCCCCCCC